ACTACCCGTCCTCCATACAAAAAATTTTTGGCTGATCGTGTACGACACCAGCCGAGCCGAGCCGAGTTTTAGTAATTGCCGAAATTACTGGCCCGGAATCAGATTTAAATCTTATCTCTGTTTCGGTTTATGACCGCCACATTCAAATACAGTTTAAGGCTATTCAGGGGGCGAAGCACGCTATCGGTCTGGAGTTTATGTGTTTTTCGTGGTTCTGGATAAGTTTAAAGGCCATCTTGACGAGACAAGATTAACTCCAGCACATGTTGGCGCATTCATCCCCATTGATCCGCTTTGCATCTCCAACGCACGGCCCAGCCTCAATCTTCTTGCACCGCGTTTTTGTTCCGATTTAACTTGGATCTACTCGATAAGGAACTCAGTTGATGCACTCACGCCATAACAGAAGGTGTGCATGCTGCGAAATCCGTGTTGTGGGAACTAGAAAATTTATTGGTTCATTTCGATTTACTGGACTGGACGTTTAAGATGCTGTCAGCTGGCACTGTTTTGCTTGTTTGTTTTTGCACATCGCTCCGAAGAAATGGACTTCACTGCAAGCGAATAATTGCTTTTATTAAGAGCACCATCATGCGAACTATATGCACCTCCCAGTAACTAAGAGACATGAAAGCAAGGCTTCTCATCCTGCAAAACTTTTTGCTTTTCATTCTTTCCAGATCATTCAGATAATTGTGTCCCAGAAATAAACTTAAACTCGTACGAAACCACTTTTCATACAGCCTAAAAAACCTTTTGAAATTTTTAAAATGTGTCAACTTAAAATTCTGTTCTCTTCAGTGAAAACTATCCCTCCTTATTGGTTAGCATTGCAATCCCGTTAATGGCCTCTGGACAGAAACACGATTGGGAATTCTTTTTTCAACAGGTACGCAAGAGAAAAACTCATAATGAAACAAATCAAACATTAAACTTTATCATAAGTAGTAGGAAAATCACGCATCACTCCTGGCTGTTTTCGAGAAAAGGGAGCCAGCAGTAGCGAACAAAAGAAGTTCGTGATAAATAAGAATTTTATGGCGGCCAACAGGCAGAGACATTGATTGGATCCTTATATTCCACAGTGAAACAGTGCTGGAACTTATAGAGTTTTGATTTATTTCAGTGCTTAAGTTGTTTCGGATCAATGCGCGCATCTCATTGATTTTGTGTTCTCAGCGTGTGCAATTCCAGCGCTGGTTAGGCCAAAAAACAGTTGACGCCAGAGAGACGTTCTTGTCAATTACATCTCTAAAAAATAGATGCTGAGACTAAGTACAGCTCCTGGCAAAGGCAAAATCGGTGCACTGGGAACATAACTTGATTAGAAAACTGAATTACAAATTAAAATCTCCGTAGCCACCCATCAGCCCTTTAACTAAGTTCCAGAAAGTACACAGCACTACCTCTACTAAAAATTTTGAATATTTATCCAGAAAAATAAACATTTTTACAATTTAACTACAAAAAGCATTGCTTTGGACACACCATGGCAGCAAGTGCTCGAAGTGCAAGCGCGTGTGGAAAATACATCAGTCAAAGGGCTGCTTAGAAGAACTGATGCGTATAAAAAGAACAAGGAGTTTATGGAGTCTGATTCTGAAAAGACTAGTCAAGTGATAGAATAATTCATTGCATTAGACAAGGCAAATCATCGGATTAGGAACTGCAATGTGCCATTAGCAGCATCTCCAGCTGTTTGTGTGATCGACGCTGAGGAATTTCGTATCGTGTTTGGAAGATTACGACCATCGCGTGAAAAAAATGATGTTTGTGGGAAGCCAAAACCAAATGGCTGATTAAATGGGACTTCCTGCAACGAAGCGCGGCTTCAAAATGAAAAAATACAGAAATTTTGATCTGCGACATTCAAATTTGAAAACGCTCTAAATAAGACGACGCTCATTGCTTAAAATGCTTGTGTCCTAACAAAACGACACAAAAACTCGACTCAAGCACAATCACAGGCCGACCCATAACCATTAGAGACCAAAAGCTCACGACCCTTAAACAGCCCAAGGATGCCAGGTTGTCTGATTTGTTTCAATCTGAGTATGCTCGGATGACAAATCATTATCCTGGACGCCTATTTATGCTCAGACGTCTAAGACACACGCAAGCAACTCCGGTTATTTATAGAACTCAAACGCGTGCAGGCAACTGGAACGTATCTAGGCCGCGTGGACACGTTCAAACGATTGAAAATGCCCACAGATGTTCTGTCGGCTTAAATATTGATTTAAAGCTCAGACTCAAATAGATCTATACATTTCGTGTAACAGACTCAGACTCAGACCTAGCCACAAAATCAAGACATATTTAAGGGTATTAGACCGTCTAGACGGCCAAAGGCATCCAAATGATTTAGACCTGTTCAAGCAGTTAATGTTTGTCAAAACTTTTCACATTGTCCAAGCGACACATTCGACTGGCCCAGGCATGTCCAATGAAACTTGCTATACCTAAATCTTTTAGACACATGTGTCCCATTCTTGACTACATAGCACCAAAACGCGGCAGAACTGTCGTTGCGCATCAGACGCAGCGCTGAAATTACTGAAAAACGAGGGTAGAACTGATATGCCTTTGTTCTGAAAAAATTCAAGTTTTTGCAACCAGTAACACTTACCAGCTGTCTGAAAAAATTTTCAGCCTGTTGTTCCCTTAGTCGCCGTTCTTCCTCCTTCTTCCGAGAGTATGCGGAAAACTCGTCCTTGCTTACAACTCCGTCGCCTGAAAAACGACAGCCAAGCTTATAAATATAGTCAGGAAACAGATGGAAGGCAGTGTAAGAGAAAATTACACTAAAGTCGCAGCATTTGCAGCCCGAGATCAGAATTAAATAAATATTTAAAGCGGGCTTCCAGAACCGAAGTGCTTAACAAAAGTCAAAACAGTATTTGTATTTTTGGATTACCATTCAGATCCTGTTTGTGGTACAGTCGTGATTTGTCTTCAATATATGGCCGATCGGCCAAAATGAATTCGGCGAATGTAATTCTCTGGTCACCATTTGCGTCAATCCGTCGGAATTCTGAATTTATCTATTTATCAAAGCCCACAGTGACCGAATGCTAGCAATAATGGTGTCAGTAAATACCTATACCACAGGTATGGCAGGTTTCTGCGTTTTAAAATACACTACTGCGCGCTTACCTTGGTGATACTGCTAAATATATATGAGTTTTTTCACCTCATCGCGAAGACGTTTTTGACTCAATTGTCAAAAGTGAATGCGTGCTTAACCACAAATGGAGATTGGGAATTCTGTGTTGCGTGTTGTGACTATTTTTATGTCAAGACGTAAGGGAACGTGGAAACTGGTTTTGCGGTTCTGCTTGTATTTAGAAAGGGACATGTCTCCATGTCTCAGGACTTTAGCTTTTGTAGTTTTCGAATTGAATCACTTCGACAGCACTCTGTCACACAAGCACAAAAAAACATAAAGGTATGGCCTTTTTTGGCTGGATATGGATCTAAACTCAAAGGATAGTGCATAAACTATTTTTAAAATTTTTGAGGTTCGTATGCGGTCAGGAATTTCTCGCCGAAATTTCAAGATCATGTCTTCCTTGACTATTGAATCACAAACTTGCCTGAATTTGGGCATGAGATCAAAAGTCTGAATGCAGAAAGAGCCAAGGGTATTTCACTTTTAAGAGGTCGTATTTAGCCGATG